CTTCATGAGTATTTTGGGTTTATTGTGCTTTTTTAATGGAGATTTTGGTTAAACATTTAGCTGAATATTTGAGCTAGTTCAGTTTTTCTGATGTTGGTATTTACTGCTATAATTTCCATTGTTAGAAATGCTGTCATTGCATGCCATAAGCTATAGTATGTTGCCTTGGAATCATTATTTTATTATAGGAGCTGTCAATTTTCCTTTTTCAAAAAATTTACATTTTTATTAAAATCAACTATACTTCCACCTTATGGTAACAAATGAAAAATAAAAAAAAAGCACTCGTTATAAGAGTTAAAATATATCATAGTGATAAATACAAGGCAAAGTTGATAAGAACTATATACAAAAAAGTAAAAATTATTACAGAGAAATTATAAATTTCAATAAAAATGAGGAAACACTTGAAAATGACAAATTTCTGTGAAAATCCACATGACCTGAATTCATTAAAACAATATTTGAAAGGAAGAAAAAAATATGGAAGGCTAACATGGCATTATTTCCAGCACTAATATACATCCAAAATAGCTTATTTACTCTTTCAGCTTCTCACACTAGGAAATCAATATGATGTTTGCACATATGAATCTGATTTATTGCACTCTTATTTATAGATTTAAGTTTTACCCATTTGCCTGTAAAAGTCTCTAGTTTGTTCTTTTTTATGGGTAAAAAATACTCCATTGAGGGGTTGGGGAGACAGCTCAGTAGAATAAACACTTACCTGGCATGCATAAGGGTCTGAGTTCAATTGCCAGTTACAGAAAAAAAACAACAACAACACTCCATTGTATTAAAAACCATATCATCTTCTTGGTTGATGGTCATCTGGATTATCACCAAGATTTTGCTATCTCAACCAGTACTGCTATTAAGTATGGATGCATATATTTAAATGTAGCATGATGTTTTTGATTATCCTAGGAATATACACACAAGAGGATTTTCTGGGAAAAATGATACATCTAATCATCGCTCTTTGAGAAATCTCTATACTGATTGTTAAGGCTGTTGCAAAACTCCATACTTCCATCAACAGAGGAGAAGTATTCATTTTCTCTTCATAGCCCCTCTAATATTTATTGTTGGTTGATTTATTTAAAATAGCCATCCTTCCTCTAGGCTGAAGGAATTTCAGTGTTTTTAAAATTTGTATCTCTTGAATGGCCAGTGATATTAAACATTTCTTCTTTTTTGTTTTGTTTCTTAAATAATTTTATTGAGAAACAAATAAAAATGAGATAGGTTCAAAACCTACTACTAGCACAGTTTCAATAATTAATATATTACATATTTTTGTCTTAGTGGTTCTTCATCGTTCAAGATGCAGACATGATATCCTGTCCACAAACACTATTAGAACAAATCTCTGTATTCATTGAATTAAGAGAATGAAGCTATATATCTATCCTAACTATTTTGAATATATAGATATAAAATGATATTTCATTTGTATCCCCCATTTTTGTTTAGTTTTATCAGAGAAGGATATTCCATTGTCATTTATATATTGTAGGTGTGTGAATTCATCAAAATATTTCAATATAATCCAGTAGTCCATAATAGTAGTGGGTATTCTGTAAGACTGTCTATGGCATTAGTTGTTGATTTGATCTTTTTACAGCTCAGCATATTAATATAGCTTTTTTTGATAATTCATTTTTATACTTTTCTGCTGGATGGCTAAGGCCTATAAAGACCTATAAAGTAAGACCTATGCAACAAGAGTTGTCGCTTTTGTGCCTGATAAGGTCAGTCAAATCCACTCAGGATTTATCCTGAGATCCTGTACCTCAGATTGTAGATCCTTTGTCAGTGTCAACCATATGGATGAGTCATTGCCATTGCTTGGCTAATTTGTTGTCCATGAAAGCCAGAAAGAATGTTTTTTATCCAAATGACTCTCCCTAGGTACACTCAACATCATTGATCACTTTCTTCTTTGGTCCCATAATCTCCTTGATCAGAAAATTTGGGACACAACTTAGTTACATGATGTTACAGTACAAGTTCTCATACGTCCTGAGTCTTAATTGATCTTGGAAGGTTAGGGCCAAAATGTGTGCTTTCCTTGTCACCCTCTTTTTTCTCTAATATTTGACTGAAAATTTAGGTTGTTAACCCTCCAGAATAGAAGCTTATTGTTATTACCATATAACCTAGACTGTTGAGCTTAACCTCACTATCTGTCTGAATATCAAACATCTTAGGCATAACATGGAACAGGTAGTTGTCATAAAGTATTGATATATTAAACTTTATGTCCCTACAGAATATGAAAAAAATTCAAAAATTAAAATATATTTAAAAAATAGGAATAAAGAATTATATATGTTTGCACATAAGTCCACAAATCTAACCATATACAACGTTGTTGCAGGACAGTCCCACAAAGCTCCTTTCCCTGTCTCTTGCCTTCATTCACCATCCCCTTCCTTTTTAAACAAACATCTACCCGAAAGACAGCACGGCAGCAAGTGGTGTGTCATGACAAGAATCACATATTCAGAAGACCAGAATGACAGACATTCCAAGCATGAACCTATTATCACACATTGCCATCTTCAGTGCAGTTGTGTAGTTCACAGGTGTCAGTGTTCATAGTTATTCAGGGTAAGAATCCTTCCAATTAAATTCTAGATTTGAAAATCTGAATATTCTCAGGATCATTGACTTACCCATCTTGTACGTATAACTGTATGGCTTGCCTCTGTCATGTTTCCTAGTTCTTCTCCTTGCTCTCTCCTCACTGTCTGTTCCTCAATTTCTTGTTTTCCTTTTAATTGCATTATGCCTTTCTATTTGTATTTCTTCTTTTGAGTTCTTATACTAGGGAAACTATATGATATTTGCACATGTGTGCTTGTGTCTATCCTATTTTGTACATACTGATATATTTAAGGCACAGATCCTGAGGATCTTCAGCAGGTTTTTGAAACTGGTAGTTAATTGGCACGTTTCTCACCCTATGTGTGCTGATACCTGTGAAGTAAGCAACTGCACGGAAGATAGCAATGTTCAATACTAGGGCCATATTTGGAATGCCTGTCATTCTCGTTTTCTAAATATGTACTGTTTCTAATGTCTTATCAATTAGTGCTATACTGTCTCTCTTTATATATTCTTGATAGTAAGGCTGTATTTGAGTAACATCTCTCAAACATATTGTATCAGATTTTAAATTTTCTCTTCATTCTGTAGGTGACTTTTCTTGTTGTGCAAAGTCAATTCAGTAACAGAAAATACATTTTATTTATCCTTTGTGATAGTTTGTGTGTGATCAGTGTTTCATTCACAAATGAAGTCTTTGACTTCATCAGTGCCTTCAAGAGTTTTACCAATTCAGTCTTTCAGCTGATTTAATGTTTCAGTCTTAATATTTAGAACTTTAATCCAGTTCAAATTTCATTTAATGTTTGATGAAAGATATTGGTCTAATTTCAATTTTCTGCATGTGCAAAGCCAGGTTTTCCTGTACAATTTATTCCTCCAATGAATATGTTTCACACGCTTTTCAAAGATAATGAAACTGAGTATGCCTCATTTGGTTTCTACATCTTCTACTCTTCAGGTTCCATTAAACTTCAGGTTTGTTACTTGACACAACTCTGCCATTTTTGTCACAGGATCTTTATAGAACAATTTCAAATCTGGGACTATGATGCCACTGGCCATGCTATGGTTATCCAAAATTGTCTTTCCTATTCTAGATCTCTTTTGGATATTTTAATTAGTTATCTGAGATATCTTTCTGAATTTTGATGGGAATTACTTTAATTCTGTGCAACAATTTTAGAAGTATAGCCATTTTTTCACTGTACTAGTTCCTTCTTCTAACAAGGAATATTTTTCTGTTTTCTAATATCTTCTCCAACCTCCTTTTTCAAAGGACTATATTTTAAAATATAGATGTCTTTTACAGCCTACTTCTTTTGATTATTAGGTTCTTCATATTTTATTAATTTTACTGAGAAGGAAATAGCAATGAGACAGTTTCAAAACAGGTTAGTAGGACAGTTACAATAATTAATACATTGCATATTGTTATCTTCATAGTAGTTACTCAGAGTAGAAGATAAAGACTTGATAACTTGTCAAAACATTATCAGTACAATTTTTTCTTCTCATTGAACTCAGAGAATATAACTGTATATCTATACTATTGTGTATATGCATATATATATATATATATATATATATATAAACTAAAAATGGCCTTTCATTGATATACCCACTATTTTTTAGTTTTTTCAGAAATGAGTATTCCTTTGCCATTCAAATACAGTAGGTGCATGAATTCAGCAATGTAATTCAATATAGTCCAATAGTCTACAACAGTAATCAGTTATCCATGGAACTCGCCATGTCAGAAGTTGTTGAATTAAGCCACTTACAGCTCAGCATCTTAAAATGGCTTTACATTTTTTACCTCGTGTTTCTACTTCTCTGCTGGATGGCTAAGATCAAGATAAAGCAAGACCTTTATAACTAAAATTGTAACTTTTGTATCTAACAAAGTCTGTCAAATTCCCTCAGGATTTACCCTGAATCCATGTACATTAGTTTGTAGATGTTTTGCCAGTTTCAGCCATGTGGATGAATCACATCAATTGCTTGGCCAATTTGCTCTCTGTGAAAGCCTAAGAGAATGATTTCTCCCTAGGTGACGCTCCTCAGGCACACTCTGTGCCCTCAATCACTTTCCTCTGTATCCCAGTAATCTCCTTGATGAGAAAATTTAGGACACCACTGTGTTACAGGATGTTACAGTACAAGTTCTTCTATGTCCTGTGCCTTCACTGACCTTGAAAGGCTAGGGCTAATATGTTTGCTGTCCTTGCAGCCCTTCTTTTTATCTAATTTTTGGTCTGCAAACTTAGGTTGTTAACCCTCCAGTAGAGAAGCTTAATGAAATTCTTACCCTATAACTTAGGCAGTTGAGCCTGAACTCACTATCTGTCTGAATATCAACCACCTTAGATGTAACATGGAACAGGTATTTTTCCAACAATTGTTTATATGCATGTCATCTTTGCACAGGGGCCATGCTAATTTCTGTATCGTTCCAATTTTAGTATATGTGCTGTCGAAGAGAGCACAACAATCATTGCTATGCGAAACTTCAAACCCTATCGTTTTTTGTAAAAGCTCTTATTCCCATAATTTCTCTCTGAGTGTTTTTTATTCATGTAAAATAAGGCTATTCATATCTGAGCATTGATTTTATTTTCAACTATGCTGTTGAAGTTTTATTGTATCCACCAATCTTTTAGAGGAGTTTTTGGTGTCTTCTGTATAAAGTATCATGCTACCCATAAATAATGGTAATTTAACTTCTTCATTTCATATACTTCTTTTTTTTTTCTTTTTCTTGTCTAATAGTTTGGCTAAGGTTTTCAGAATTGTGTTAAGTATAACGGGAGACAGTGGACTTATTTGTCTTTTTATTGATTTTAGAGTCAAAACTTTTAGATATTTTATCTCATTTATTATGATACTGGTTGTAGTGTTTTTATTCAGATTTAGATAATGTTTTAGTTTTTGTATGGTTTTTATTATGAATGGGTTCTGAACTTTGTCAAAATCATTTTTTGCATCTATTGAAATTATTGTTTTTTTTTCTTGCTATTATTGTTATGGTGTACTACATTTACTGATTTATGTAAGTTGAACCATCCTTGCCTCCCTAGAATAAACACCCTGGAATTGATCCTGTTGCTGTATGATCATCTTAATTATTTGCCCCATACTTTTTCCCAGTATCTTATTGAAGATTTTTGCATCTACGTTCACTAGGGAGATTAGCCTGTTGCTCCCTTTCTTTTGGTATCAGGGTAATATTTGCTTCCAGGAATGAATTTGAGAGTAATGTCTCCTTTTCAATTTAACTGAAAGGTTTAAATAGTAATGACATTAAGTATTCACTAAATTTCTTGTAGAATTCAGGAGTGAACACTTCAGGGCCTGGGCATTTGTTCATTGCTAAATTTTTTGTTGTTTTTGTTTTTGTTTTTATTTTTGCAATCTATAAGTATTGCCAGATTTTTATTTTATTTTTAAAAGAGACTACAAAATAGTATTAAAACATACTGCTAACTTTTACTTACATTGTCAATCTCTGTTCTCCATTCTTCAGTTTAAGGCTTTGGTAGGTTTATTGTGCAATCAACTCCCAATATTATTAACCAAGGGAGAATATGTGGTTAAAGCAGTTGTTTTTCTGGTTACATTAGGACATTTAGCAATATTAATAACAGCATGTGACATTGGAAAACTGACACACTTTGGTAACTAATGGTTTTGTATTTTAGATCATAGGAGTAAACACTAGAGCTATATAGCAAAGCACACTGTAGATTGAGAATTTGTCTGTAAACTAGTTTCACTAGTTTCTATCTGGGCACCTACCCTTCGTGTGTCTGAAGTCTGCAAGGCTGACTAATTCACCTAAGTTTCTACCTGCTCCCTTCATTCTGTAAAGATCTTCCCGTAGGTCTGGTCCTCAGAGTGGAGCCTGGTGGGCCCAGGAGCACTCCTCACCTCACCAGGAACAGCTGTGTATCTCAGCCCATCTTCTGCAAACCATGCCCACAAAGTTTGTCCACCAATTTAAACTCAGCCTGCCTGGCCATACTTTAACGGTAAGGATAACTCAGTGCACAGAGCCAAATTCCTCCCGCTGGACCACACCTCAGTTCCTCTGAGGTACTGAATTGAATCCCTGAAGCTGAATTCTGCTGGGTGAGCCTGACTAATTCTGCTTAACCATACCTAGTCCCTCTGCAGCAGTGACATGGAATTCCACCCACTGGGCCAAACTCCACCTGCCAAGCCAACTCTGTTTGCAGTGCCAAACTCTGTCTATATTTATATTTTATTTTTATTTATTTTTTTTATTTTTGGTGTAAAGGCGCATTGAACTCAGACCCTTGCGCTTGCCAGGGAAGCATTTATTCTACTGAGTCATCTCCCTGGCCCCTTATATTTTTATTTCATTTATTTATTTTTTCCAGAACCAGGGATTGAACTCAGGCCCTTGAACTTGCCAGGTAAGTGCTTATTCTACTGAGTCATCTCCCTGGCCCCTATATTCGTATTTTAAAAGAATGTATTTTATCTTATTAGGGAAAAATGAATAATTTATCAAAATTCAGAAAAAAATTTAATGTTTTAATGAAAGGTAAATACTAAAACTTTCAAAAGGCCAGAAAGAAATAAATAATTGAAAAAGAGAATTATCCAAAATAACCCAGTTATGTGGGAAAATACATTTGATAATAAAGTATCATATGTGATGAAGATTTATCCTACTAAATGAGAGATGGAATGATAAAAACAAAATCATAAAGATAATGTAAGCCACAAAAGTTTTGTGAGTGGTACACTCATGAAAGAAAATTTATGCATATTACATATATGATAAAAATGACTATAATTCCAACAACTCAATCATATTTTTAAAAAACAATGTTGACATAAGTGTGAAACCAATTTCTGTAATAAAATCATATTTTCTTAAAACACTGATCCACAGAAAGTGTAAAAGTCCCTAAGTTTTGTGTTTTGTTACTTGTTTTAATTTCTGCCCCTGAATTTTGATTCTCTAAGAAATTAATTCTTAAGCAAGTTAGAATTTGTTTTAATAATTATAATTTTACTCTCTTTAGGGAAGCAACTCTTATGCTTAGGTTACTATAGTATATCTGACACGTTGAATAACTAAGGCAAGACATATACACATCTGAGTACTCAATATGTTGTGAAAAATGTTCGGTTTGTAAAACTAAAAGTTGCATAAGTTTGATACAGCCACAGTAACATAAATTCTGTCTTACACAAAATACATTAAATTTGGACATCAAAAAGAAGTGGTTGGTGAAACATACTATATTTCCTATTTCTGGTATCATTCATGGGAGAAATATCTGCCATGTGAACAATCCTTGTAAGTAAGTTATAGTTCATAATTTTGTGCTTTATCTATAAAAGTTATTTGCTATTTTATGAATAAGATGTTTTGTGAATCTGAAAGTAAAACCATTTTCAATTATTAGTATTTTTTTTAAACTGGTAAGATATTGAAAGCCATCCTCTGAATTTTTCCCTAGGGCATGGCAGAATAAAGGGACACAGGAGGTTCCATTTCCTTCATAGGAGAATCCATTTTCCTTTTGAAGCTCATTTTTCAAAAAAGTCACTTAAGTTCTATTAAACAATAAATGAAATCACACCGTCTCCCCCTTCCATGTAGCTAACCATAAATCTACTAGGAAAAAAACAAGGTCATAAAAACAAGAACAAATTGGGAAGTAGGGTAATTGTTAAGCCACAATGTCTGTATGACCCACAGGTGGTCAGTAGAATCTAAAAAATGAAAGCCTCATGATGTTTATGTGGTATCCTTCAAAATTGCTGACCTTGAAGTAATGTGGTAATATATACTACTGAAATCTTAGAAGTATATATCTTGGAGTTAAAGTCCAAAATATGATTGACATATTGTTTTCCTTACTCAGGGACAGGGTGTTGGCTACTAGCTTTCAATAAAGCTTCTTTATTACTATGATTTTAGTCTTTTGTAAATGACTTTCTCACTGAATTGCACAACAAAAAGAAAGATACAGAGTCAGCCATGGAGATTTCAGAGCTATGACGCTAGGATCTGGATGATGACTGACTGGAACCCAGTTTACAAGTTACTCCTTAAAACCTGGCCCCTCATGTATGGATTGAACAGTGTGGATCCCCATATCAGGTTGGATTTATTTCAGCTGGAGTGTTTCCTCATATGTCTTCTACCTTTCCACTTAAAGAATTTTCCCCTTAGAAAAATAAAAGCAAAGATTTTCATGTTTTATCAATGTTTAAGGCCACTTATGGAAAAGACAGAAGTAGAAATCAATTAGAAGTGAATCAGTGAATAGAGAGATTTGTTCTAATAATGTTTGTGGACAGGATATCGTGTCTGCATCTTGCACAATGAATAACCACTAAGAAAACAATATGCAATTTATGAATTATTGAAACTGTGCTAGTAATCAGTTTTCGAACTGTCTCATTGTTATTTTTTCTCCATAAAATTATTTTAAAATAAAAATAGAAGTCGTTTTAGAAAAAGAATAACTTTGATTCAACTGTCTGATTCTGTTAAATGTGTTTTTTAGAGTATGAATTAGAGTTAAAACAGAAAAAAATACAAGTGATGCACAATTTCACGTAACACTTTAATATGAAACTCATGGTATTTGTTGTAATACATAATGTTGTCTTACAACCATTTATTCCTATTACCAGATATATGAATCCAAAATTTGAAAAGAAAGAAATGTATATGAAATTAAGCAGAGAAATTTGTCTGTAAGTGGGTGTAAGTAGAAAACATACTCTTAAGTGAAATAAACCAGGCCACATGTGCAAAATCATATTGTCTGCTTAATGTGAGAACGTGAAAGAGAAAAATGGAATCTGAAGGGTACACTAAATACTGGGAAAAGGGAATGAACTTATTTAAATACAAAGTGTCAATGGGTTGAGAAGAACAGGTGACGAGGTGGGGAAAAGTGTTTTATGTAGATATGTAAGCAGGATGGTTTGGACAACTGCACTGTGCATTTCTTCTGAACTATAAAAAAGAGAAGATAATACTTTATTTGTTTTGTCTCTCTTAAATGTGATAAGAGATTTTTCTAATAGTTATGTACCTTACAATAACATTAACTTTGCATGGGTATACTCCATATTAATATTGAAATATGAGAACTATATAAGTTGCTTTCTTCTTCACTTCAGTTTAAATGGTTTTATAATGTAACAGTTTTAAAAATATCACTGCCTTACCTCTTATGGCCTTACTTAAATGATTTATTCATACATGCATTCATAAAATCTATGAGCACTTACTGTGAGAGACAGGAACTGAGAAGCCAAATTTAGCTTTAACAATATATCACATGGTAATATTTTAAAATTTTACCTTCTAAATTTTTTCAAATCTACCATAGCACACATTACTGAACAAAAGAGATTCAGTATGTTCCCTCAAAATGCTGCCTATCACAGCAAAAATAGTAATGTTACTACTCAGTAAAAATTATAATGT